GTCAGATGTCTATGATTATCAGTGGGGAAAGGTATTATGAAATGCAATAACCACTCAGAGCTTTGGTTTGCTCTGCAATATTTCGGTATTTCTTTGATGAATAAAAATTTCAGAATTGGAGGTTTCAGTTTTAGATGTTTATGGAATTCCACTCTGTCTGCATATGTACATATATATAAATACAACTATACACACACCCCACCCCCAAGCAGAGTAATTGATTGAAAATGCTTCTTACTATTATGGTGTCTTATAAAATATTTTTTGCTGCTGTGTTTTATATTTTCAGGCTCCTTTTCTTCATTGCAGGTGGTTCTAAGAGGCATTTTTACAGACAGAAAGTTTGATGTTCACTTGACAGTTGCAGTAGCATGTAAATATTTCCACTTTCTAAAAACCTCACCAAGAGAGGACAGCTTTAACATGTTTTCTGCTGAGGTTACCCTGTACCTCTCCTGCTCAGTTTTCTGTTTTGGGGAATGGTCTGCTGTTAAGTGACTGTTTTAAGATACACTTTTGTCATTAAGTCATTGCAGTCATTCTTATGGTGACTTATGTTACTGGGGCATAACTTTATATTAATAGCATTAGGACATGGCTGTGCAGCAGCCAGCTGTTTGTAGCTGTAAGTTAATAAGACACCCCTAAAAGGATTTTTTTTGGTTTGTATTTGATATATTCTGCCTTCGTTCTACTCCATCAATCTTGCATCATTTTTTTAAGTGAAAAAATATACTATTAGTAGAGATTTTAGAAATTAGTGCCTGTGCTATAACTTGCACACTAAAAGTGAGAGGTTTATTTGCATTAGTGTTAATTCAGATTTCCTAGAGGAATTCAGGTTCTAATTGACTGCATCTTGTCTTGTTGCAGGTATGGCAATTTAGATGGTGATCCGAAGGAGATATCACCTGTTATTGACCAGTTCATCGAATGTGTTTGGCAATTAATGGAGCAATTTCCTTGTGCCTTTGAATTCAATGAGAGATTCCTCATCCACATACAGCATCATATCTATTCTTGCCAGTTTGGGAATTTCTTGTGTAACAGCCAGAAGGAGAGACGAGCACTGAGGTATGAAAGTGTTTTCCTTAACAGCTTATTTACGTGTGTGGTCGGTGAGTGGTGATGGACTGAGGAGTCAGACGTGTGTGCTTTCATAAGGCACAGGCTGCCCATTGTTTTCTGGCAGTGGAGATTAATACCAAAAAAAGTTGATCCTCTGCAGTGTAGCTGTGCTGGGAGTGTAATCCATGATGTGCGTGACAGGGATTAGTGAAAACTGACAAGAGCATTAGTCCTTCAGCCATGTGGCCCTACCTTTGCTGCAGCCTTAACAACATTCAAGGCAAGCTGTCCCTGTTGCTAATATAAGATTATATTAATTCTAGTTAAATTCTCAGTTTAAGAGTTATTGCTCTTCTGTGTTTTAACCCATCTTTGGATCTCATGTTGGGACACTTCAGTCCTGCTCTCTGTTACTTTCTTATGAACAGCCTTTTTGTCTAGTAGCCCTCCCTAGGACAGAGTCAGGAAATTATCCTGCTGTCCAGGCCCAAAGGAAGTATGAATTAATCTACTTGCTCTTAGGCCTGAACAGAGACAGTATCATCCCTGGCAATTCTGATGTTTGTATCTGCTTCCTGAGGTCCTGGGTCCTCAAGTACATGATGACATGAATCGCTGTTCTCATGCATCCTGATGTGTCAGCAGTAGCAATGAGAGGAACATGGCAGTTACCACTGCCATTTGGTCCCTTTTACTGCTCAAATGCAGAGCAGCCATAGTGTCACAGTCCATTTCAAATCAAAATCTTCACAGATCAGCATATCCCAAGACCTAACTGCATAAAAAATTGCAGCTCAGTGGGATAGGACTGCTTTTAAATGTGGGGGTTCTTTTGGTGCAGAGATCAGCCCAAAAGCTTACTTAATGGAAGTGGTCCTCTCCACCTTACAAAGGAACCTGTCTCTCCACCTGCACTCTCCAGCTGCTCTGGCTTTGTGGAAAATGGATTGGAATCTGCCTTTGGAGACCAGCAAAGGAATATGGGTCTCTGTATCTCTATACTTGTAACTTAGGTCTAAATCTGTTAAGGAAGTAAAAAGCTGATTGTAAACAAAGAATACAGAGCACTAGAATACATCATCTAAGCTGTAACTATCCCAGAATTGTAGTAGAGACTTAAAGGTATTTTTATTTGATGCATTTTTTTTCAGAATCCAAGAACGAACATATTCATTGTGGGCTCACCTGTGGAAAAATCGTGCTGATTACCTGAACCCTTTATACAGACCAGACAACAGTCAAACCCAAGGGACCCTGCATCCACAGATAGCTCCATGCAACTTTTTGTACAAGTAGGTAGTATCACTTGCTACTGAGTGTGTGATGTGTGAGTATGGAACAGAGTGCCTTTGTATGTAAGTATTTCTTGTTCTATCAGGCAGTTTATAGGGAGTAAACTCAGTCTCAGATGCAATGTGTTTGTTCCTTGTGTGCTCATAGTCAGCCAACATCTCTGCACCATTTCACAACAAAGTATTAGTCTGAAAAGAAGCTTAAGATTAAAGCTAGATTGATAGTTGTGTGTCCTAATTTCATGGTTACTCACTTCTTCCACTGAGAAATGCCTCTTTCAGTCCTGTCCTCATCTGTGGTTTCTAAATTTAAAGTTGCTTCAACTTCTTCCATTTCAAGATGTTGTGATGTTTATTTGGATCAACTGGTGTCAAAAATAAAAAGGAACTTTTGAAGAAATGATACAGTTTCATTGCTAAAACAAGTGTTTAGAAAAACAAAAGGCAGATGTTCCCCATGCTGTTGCTATACCTCAGAGTAAGTTTTACTGGATATTCTTTTCAAAATGTAAAAAAATATCATTTTAGAAATGTTACTATTGACATTAGGACTTAATTAATTGTGCCATTAATCTTAACAAACTTAAGGGCAACTTGAATAGAAATTCATGAAAACTGATTTATGTAAAACTGATCAGTTTTTTTTCCAGTTGCAAGTAATAGCACCTGTTAAAAAGTCAATAAATATCCTAAATGACAGAAATTGAGTTCCTTCATGTCTACTGTACCAGGTCACATCTACTTTAAAACAATTAAAAAATAGTCATTAATTGTATTCTTTGGGATACTGGGATTTCTAACAGAAATTCTAACAGTGATACAGCAGATCCTCCATTGGATGAGTAATCCTGTTGATTTTAATGGAATTACTTGAGTGCATCAAGATTTCCAAGCATGAGCTATCAGATGATAAACTTAAGGGAGAGCGTGATTCAAATAGTATACTATTGGGACAGGAATAATAAGGCACCAAGGGGCATGCACGTGCTCAAAAAATATGTCAGCTACTTCACCAGACAGCTGCAGCTGATGGCAGGTCTGGGCTACTTAACCTGTCTGGTGAACTAGTTACATAGAGCCTGGCTCTGGCCACTTACTGCCAGGAAGGCACAAGTAGCATTAGAGTAAGCTACAGACTTACAGTTTGACTCTTTTCCTCTTGAAAATGAAAAGTGAACTCAACTGTCTTACTAAAGGTTTGTCAAATAATTGAACAGAACAGGAAGAGAACTTGCCATTGTATATGCTTCATACATCTGCCAGTTTAAAATGTCAGTTTGAATTGTAAGATAACAGGATGTCATGTTGTTTTTCACTTCTGATTTTTAAGTCTTTTTTTTTCCAGTGGAAATCTGGAAACTATCTGGTATCTGAAACTTACCCTGTTAACTATCTGCACCTCCCTGCCCCTGCCAGTCCCAGACAAAAGCAAGCATACAGAATTTCAAAGTTGACTACAAGGGAAGTTAAACAACAGTTGAGAACTAGGAGTATGAAAAACTGTCTTTAACCTTGGCTGTTTTATAGGTACTCTAAAGTCCATAGTGTAGAACAGGAAAATAATACAGCAAAATCCTATGTTCAGTGAACCCTTCTCAGTCATGTGATCCAAGTCAAAGCTACATTCACCTTTCTTTCTGTTGTGTATCAGAATTGGTTCAAGCTGCCTATGTCCACAGTTGTACCTTCAGTACAGAGCACATGCAAATGAAGCATGAATCTTGCCAAACAGTCTATGAACTCGATCGTTGGACTCAATGATCTTAGAGGTCTCCTCCAACCTTGATGATTCTATGATTCTAACTTATGTGTATGCACTCTAGTGATGAATAAGCCATGGATGGATCATTTAGGACAACATGCATCTGAGGGGAAGAAAAAAAAAAGAAAAAAGCATTTGCAAATAAGTCTTGTGAGGCTTCCTCACCAAATGAGAAAATTGCTGACCTTCCCATCAATTCCAGGTTCTGGAGTGGCATGTACAACCGCTTTGAAAAGGGACTGCATCCTCGACAGTCAGTTACTGATTACCTGATGGCAGTGAAGGAAGAAACTCAGCAGCTAGAAGAAGAACTGGAGATCTTAGAAGAGGTAATAAACACATAAGCTTGATACCCCAGACTTGGTAACTGATGGTAAATGAAACCCAACTTCATACGCTGCAGAGTGCCCTACATGCTACATCCTTCTCTGGCCTGAGCATGTTCAGCCATCATCTTTGTTCTCACCATGAGATGTTACCATGAATATTTTGCATTTATGACGCAACAGTGAACTTTTCTTCTTTAAGGATAAAATTTTACCTGTGTTGGTGCACAAGTACTACTGAAAGAAAGTTTAACCCTTCTGTAACTCAGAAGGAATTGTAGCTCAGAAGGATACTGCAATTCAGCATTGGTTTGTGATAAGCTGTGCACTTCTCATACTCCATAAATGCAAATAGGCAGTTTTACAGGTTGCCGGTTGGGTTGGGCTCAGAAATTAGTTTATTTGAAAAAAAAAAAATGAAGGCAAAGACATATAAGAGGATTACTAGGCCCCAAATGTGTCCATGTAATATATCCTGTTTCCTTTATTTCAGAGATTGGTGAACCTTCAGAAATCACAATCAGATGATAATAAAGTCAAGAGTAAGAAACAAGACCGAAGCAAACAGTTAGGGCTGTCTACTTCCAACAACAGCTTAGCTAACACTCCCCAGGAATATAGCAACGATCTAAAATCATTCCCATCCCGGAGCCCTTCACAAGGAGATGAAGAAGATTCTGCCCTGATTTTGACACAGGACAATCTGAAAAGCTCTGATCCTGACCTCTCAGCCAACAGTGATCAGGAGTCTGGTGTGGAGGACTTAAGCTGTAGGTCCCCAAGTGGGGGTGGCTGCTTGCCTAGCGAAGACAGTGGCAAGGACTCTGATGAGGCTGTATTTCTGGCAGGCTGAAACACCTTCACAGCAGCAAGGAGCCAGATGAAGTTGAGTCTTTCACAGTCTGGAATAACATCTTTTCATCAGATGAAGAATGGGAGTGGTCTGTGGCCTAAAGAAATAATCCAAAGAAAGGGAACTGTGCAATTGCATTAAGTAAAGATCTAAGCAGAACAAGACATTACTAGTTTTAAGACATAATGCTAAAGAAAGGTAATACCTGCTGTTATATTTAGTTAAGCCAATGTGGTATTTGTTTTAACTTCGTCAATGCTGTGCATAATTATTCCTTACTTTTTACATTTCCATAATTATTTATTGTACGAGATAATAGCTCTTCTCCAAAGATGTGAAATTCCAAAGTACTCTCTTACACAAGGCTGAAGATGCATTACTGTTAGCCTTACTGGTGAATCAGTCAAAACTTAGTTTTGTAGACTTCTTTTGCCTTCAGAGAGATTATGTGTATTCTTCACTTTTTTTTTCACAAGAGGTGTTAAATTTTGAATTTGAACAATTGTTTTGCATATTCTCCTACTAGAATAGGTTTGCTTAGGGGACAAATGAAGCTTTGATCCTGAAAAAAATCCTTTAGTAAGCAGTTCCTGCTGCTGCATGTAAGTGCATCACATTTGAACTCAACTCTCAACTTGTGTTGAAAGTTCAGTAATTTCTGTGACCAGGAATATATTCAAGGAATATAACAATACCCACACAGCCTTCATGCTAAAGCAGTTTAGCCTCTTTATGTTCTGTTCTCAAGTTTCTTTATATCTTACCCTTGTTTCAAACCACCTACATAAGGTATAAAGGTAACTAAACCCTAAATTGTCCAGTCTATTTTGATTCCTACTTGAAAATGCTCTATTTGAGTGGAAGTGCAGAGAACAAGGAATGTAAAATCACTTACAAAAATCACTTATGTGAGCATCACTCTGAATTCATAAGAAAAGGAAGGTTATGCCCATAAAGGAGCTTGATAAGGAATGTTTCTTCCAAATTTTGTTGTTCAAAAGAAACTAACCACAAGCAACTGGGCTTTTTATCCTCATTCAGAATTTCACTTTTAGTATTTTGCCAGCCTGAATGGAGAATGGCAGTGCTAATTTAAGAACAGGACTGATTTGCCATTCACCAGAAAGTGTAAGAAATTTTGTATTTTTAAGAAAAGGAGTAATATTTTCATAATCATCAGTACAGAAGTAAACACCTGTTTAAAATTAAACAAATGTTTAAAATTTGGAATGTTTTCAAGGTCACTAAAAAGGTGGCCATATTAGGCCATAATTCCTTCAAGTTTCCTTTATTTTTTTTAGAAGTTTAGTTGAAGCAAGCAGTTACAAATAGAATTCGTTTGGCTGCTGTTACCTGTTTGGAGACAATATGGTATTGAACTCCAGTAAAGCAAAGCAGTAGGAGTCTAAGTTTACTTTGATTGCATTTCATATACTCCTTCCAATACAGACTTACAGGCAGAACTGTATTATATAAATATACCTCAATTTAGAAGCTTTAGATTTTATTGGCTGCTTTTATGGAATGGCTTTTCATTCTTTCCTGTGAACTTAAGTCATTAAAAGTGAGTAGGTAAACTTCAGTGTCATTAATATCCTCCTAGGGAAGCTGCTGCCTTTGAACACGTAATTCCTAACAGCAAGGTTTATTTGAATGTTACACAGGAAAGGCAGATCCTCAGTTTGATACATCACTATAGCTCAGTTCAAATAAATACAGCTATAAATTATAGTCTGTTGAGAATCTAGCCTTCTGGGTTTAATCTTTATGAATTTTTCACAAATGAAGGCCCTGATTTTGATTGCACTTTTGAAAATTTCGTATTTTGAACCTAGCCTGTAAAACTTACGGTATTGAAGAAAACTTTGCAGCATTTTTCTTTAGTTTGAGAAAACCCATTCAAAGTCAGCAGTGAAAACAAAACACACAAAGTATTCTGCCTAAAAATGAGTTTGAAAATGGGCAATGTTATTGCACATCTTTAACGTGTGTCCTATTAGACACGTCTAGAAATAAATGCAGAGCAGCAAGGTAGGTAAATTGAAAGCACTCTCTTTGTGTGGCTTATGCAACTCTTTGTAACTGGTTTTACAACTAAACTATTAACACTCCAACGTTTTCTCTATTAAGTCTTCACTTGGCAGCCCTCTGATGTGTTATTCAGTCCTTGGAATTTTGCATCAGCTACTGCTGTTTTCATTCTACTGTATGTATTTGTGGCATTTCAAATAAATACTTAGGTGTTACTTAATGTTATTTTACATCAGTGAACAAAATTATTTTTGTACTATAGTTCTTCATTTACTCAAGAGTCACTTTGTCACTGATAGCAGTGACATACAAGATTTTTACATCTTCCCTACTTTGATACTTCAGTTCCATACAGAGGAAACTACAACTGGTAACTAAGAAAACTGTCCTTGAATAGCTTCCTCCATCCATTTCCAACACAATTCTGTATCCACTCAATGCCCAACTCCATCTGTAAGTTGGATGATTACAAGATATATTCAAATCCCAAAGCCTTTATCTGCAAGTTTAACACATTACAGCGTTTACTGTTCAGCATAATATACACAATTAAGTCTGTGATAACTAACTTGACTTTATTGTGAGTTTTAATTTGGTTTTACATGAAGGTCTCTTAAATTTATCTTTAAGAAGGATTTATCCTAGTCTTTGAAGGGAGTAGTAAGAACTTGGACATGAACAGAACTATAAGATTCTAAGTTCAAGCTGCAGGAGTATGTAGAGAGCAAACAAAACAATAGTACATACTCCTTAGAACCAACTTTATCAGTCTCTTACTTGCAGTAGTGGTTAGCAGAGCAGAGTGCCTCCTCAGCAAGTTCACTGGGAGGAGTGGCTGACACCCCAGTGGGCTGTGCAACCCTTCAGAAGGACCTTGACAGGTTGGAGAGATGTGGGCAGAGAAAAACCTAAAATTCAACAAAGGCAAATGCACGGTCCTGCACCTAGGGAAGAATAGTTCTGGGCTCCTCAGTACAAGAGAGACATGGGGGTCCTGGAATGGATCCAGCAAAGGGCAACAAAGACAATTAAAGGACTGGAGCATCTCTCTTACAAGGAAAGGCTGAAAGCTGGGCATGTCCAACCTTCAGAACAGAGGACTGAGAGGAGGCTGCATCAATGTCTGTAAGTACCTGAAGGGAGGGTGGCAGGAGGATGGAGCCAAGCTCTTCTCAGTGGTGCCAAGCAATAAGTCAAGAGGCAACAGGCAGAAACTGATGCACAGAAAGTTCCACCTGAATATTAGGATGAACTTCTTTACTGTGCAAGTGACCAAGCACTGGAACCGATTGCCCAGAGATGTTGCAGTTTCCCTCACTGAAGATATTCAACAACCATCTGGATGCATCCTGTGCCATGTGCTCTAGGATGAACCTGCTTGAGCAGGGAGGTTGGACCAGATGTGGCACCTTCCAACCTTAACCATTCTGTGATTCTGTGATTTAGCAGTAAGATCAGATATTAAAATTAGGCAATTGGGCAAACCCAATGTGCTGGTTTTGGCTGGGGTAGAGCTACCTCTCTTCACTGTGGCTAGTGTTTTGGATTTGTGCTGAACACAGATACATAATGCAAAGATGTTTTTGTTGTTGCTGAGCAGAGCTTACACAGAGCCAAGGCCTTTACTGCCTTTTCATACTGCCACGCTGGCAAGGAAGTTGGGGGTGCATGGGAGACTGGGAGGAGACACAGCTGGGACAGGTGACCCAAACTGACCAAAGGGATATTCCATACCATAGGATATCATGCTCATCATGCTAAAATGGGAGAAAGAAGGACAGGGAACACACATTTGGAATGACAGCATATGTCTTCCCAAGCTGAACACCTCCTGCACATGGGAAGCGGTAAATTAATTCCATGTTTTGCTCTGCTTGTGTGTGCAGCTTTTGCTTTCCCTATTAAACTGTCTTTATCTCAACCCATGAGTTTTCCAGCTTTTACCCTTCCAATTCTCTCCCAGATCCTGGTGGTGGGGGAGTGAGTGAACCACTGCATGGTGCTTGGTTGGGGTTAAAACATGACATCCCAGACTCAATTAGCAGTTACAATATAGAATGTACTCTTCCCCTCCCCACCCCTCCTGAAATATTGCAGTACCAGAGACAAGCCATCTCCTTGCTCTTGTATTCTTTGCTCATGGAGTTCACTTGCCCATTTGACAGAACACCTGAACATGACATAGTGCAAGGCTCTCCAGAAGCAAGTTACTGTATGTAGCCTGTTATTCCAGATAACTTGGACACATTTCAAAAGACTTTAGAAGAATATGCATCTAACAGCAGCTGCCATTCTCTTACACTTTGCAGGGAATTGTTTAAACCTGGATTTACATCTGTGCTCCATTATTTTGGCTAAATAGGTAAGGAATGCACTTAACAGTGAGCTACCACATGCTAGATGCAATAAACCTCTCTCTGATAGTGTTACCAGTGTTCCACTACAACTTCTGATGAAGGTATAAAGATTACCTGTAAGTAAAAATGTTCCCATTGGCACAACTAGTGCAGGACTAAAAGAAAAAAAAAAAAAAACCTCAAAAACCAAACCAGCAGCAGGTTGGCCTTTGAAGACCACAAACAGGCTGGCCATTCTTGAATGTGACAGGATTCCTGCAGCTAATCCAGTATACACCATTGTTGAATACAGAATTCTGTATTTCTTTTCTAGAAGATGGGTTTGTGACTGCAGGAGAAGCTAAAAAATAAGGGAAAAATCTGAAGAACAGGAACAATGATAGAGAGAATAGAAAGGGAGAAAAGATAAGACCTCGAACTTTCATATCTCTAAATAAGAAATGCTGAACTTGCATTGAACAGTGACATTTTCTTCTAGACTCTACTCCACTATCATCAAAAAGACTCCATGGAGAACTTCTGAATGTGTAAATTTGCTCACAAAAAAAGGTAAGAGGAAAAACTGAAGTGTGGAGAACTTCTACTAGCTGGGAAAGGAAATCCCCTGAAGGT